CTCTTGCGACTCCGAACTCCCGACTCTAGCGTCTCCGAACTCCCGACTCTAGCGTCTCCGACCTCCCGACTCTAGCGTCTCCGAACTCCCGACTCTAGCGTCTCCGAACTCCCGACTCTAGCGTCTCCGAACTCCCGACTCTTGCGTCTCCGAACTCCCGACTCTTGCGTCTCCGAACTCCCGACACTAGCGTCACAAACTTCAGACTTTTCTGTCACAAACTTCTGACTTTTCTATCTCAAAACTTCAACTTTTTGAGCCATTATTATTACTTATAATCTGGCAGGGTTTCCATACTTGAGTATTGTTTTGAACAAAATGTTTATTTCGGTAACTTTAAATCAATTAAATGTGAACAGACACCTCATTACCAATACAATCTAGCTTGGTGGTAACAGCAATAATATGAGCCTCTTTGAATTTGGCATCTTTTTTTTTTTTTTACATTTACATCCCTGTCCAAAAGACTGATTATTCTCAGTAATCACGGTTCAGGTCAGTAATCTCATCTTTGATGACATCACTGAAACATGAAGTTTTAATAATGAAGGTAATCCGTACTTTCATGTTCTCAAGGTCCAGATTCACCACAATTTATCAAAATCAATCACAATTGACCAAACCCTGTCGCAGTGCCTAGGATTGAACCCGAATTAGTTAATGATCTAAATGAATGATTCATATATCTATCTAATTCAGTGACTAATCGCACACACTCACCTGCTAAATGCCACTTGCTAGCTGTGTTTTGCTCTACGTTTTCCCCCAGCTAATTATTTCTTAAAACTAGAGCATTATATCTGTTTCTTTTGGTTTAATAGAATGTAAACAGAGCTGTGACAGGCACCCCATGACCCTCCCTGAACACGGGCTGCGGCTGTGTGTTTGCGGATGTTTGTTAGCTCGTTAGCATGATCAATATCGTACCGTTCTGCTGAGCATCCAGATCTAGCAACCGGAACAGGCTTTTGCTCTTCCCTGTCTCACCGCGGAAAACGAGTCGAAAGGAAGCTTGGCCGCCCGGTCTGGTGGGTTTGGAGCTCAATACGGGCAGATGTCTGCTCCTCCGTCCTCTCAAAGAGGAATCCGCGGTAGTATCTGTCTGCGGACTGCAAGATAGGGGCGTAACGAGAAAGAGGCATAACTTGAAGCTGATTGCACGGAGGCGTTACTTGAAGGGGCCAAATCACACGGATTAACGCGAGAGGGCTACTTAAAAACATCACCCATTAGAGCTTTAAAGCTCACGAGCAATAATACGAGCAATATAATACGAGCAATAATAAGTGCTGTTATCTAGTCTTAAAATAAACAGTTCGCAAGGATTTTGAACGCTAAATGTTGAAGTTAAATACAAAAAGTAGTTCACAACTCTATCCAGCAGATGGCGGTAATTCACGCAGAATGGAAACCGCTAACACATCTGAGAGAGTGGCAAGAAAAACAAAAGACGTCGAAATCAAATTTCAGACGTGTAATAGAGTAGTTATTACACTGTATATGTGTGATCTAATCTTATTTATTGATCTTTTATATCTGACAACTGGTGGGGGTTCTAGTGGTGCGTCATGGGAATGAGAATTGTGGATGGTCCTGTCCCAAATGGTACAATGTGGACTCGTGAACTTTCACATTTTTGACGTCATCCTTCATGGGGTAGACCAAGCGTATGGTCACATGGCCAGCGGAGTGAAGCCAAACTACGATTGCAGAATGATGTCAGGCCAATGCAAGTCAAAAGTTATTTCCTTAGAAATTATGCTTTTTACACAAACGGTTTTAATGATTTTCAAAAATTATCTATACAGTGAACAAAGTTCAATAGTTTTTTTTTTTATTCAAGTTGTGCATGCAATCACCCCACATGGTTGGCTGCCGAATGATTTCTATCTAATTGACCTATTTGCACGTAGACTCGGGATGCACTTCTGCGTAATATCGCTCAAGGAGTTCTGATTTGTAGGTTATTGTATTGGAGTTTGGAGAAAATGTTCAGAGAAAGGTGTGTTTATAGCTTTAAAAAGACAGCAGAAGGTATACAGAGCACACTTGTGCTCTCCTTTGCACATCGTCTGCAAAGTTCAACAGTATTTTACTTTTTCACAGTTATCCTGCTGATATGAACCTTAGAAAACAGTGACTTGTAAACGAGTAACGATGGCATTAGTGGCGTCAACCTACAAATGGCATATACAATGACGTGATTACAGTTTATGTCTATGAAAAATGCAGCTGCGCCCAATGTGACGACACCTCCTCCTGCTCTATAATCGCAGGTTTCTGGTAAGATTTTGAAGTGCAGATCCACAGACCCAAACGGCTGATATTACCCACAATCCTCTGTACAATTACCGAGGTTTCTTTTTCCAAGACCTCTTCGCTATAAACATTCGGGACACAGGCGGTCAATGCGCAATTTCAGATTCTAACCGGAAGTAGACCGTCATCGACGTACATTTCGCGTACCAATAGAGTTTATTTAAAAAAATAATAAATACAAAAAATAACTGACGTTTCGAATACGTCCTCTGATTAAAACTACTTGCACACTTTTAATCATTGAGTCACGAGATGTTGACTTTTTGTAGCCGTAGACTTGTAAATAAAGAGCTGGGCGCATATTAACGACCGAGTCGATCCGCATGCGGTGAAGATCCGCTTTAGAGGAAACGTCTGCAAGGCCGCGACGCCCACGACGACACTCCTGCCAGAAAAACACGTGTTGTGCAGTTTTTCCTTATCTTCTACTGGAATAAAATCGTCTCGTTGAAGAACCGGTGAGCGTCATTGTTTCGTATTTATTTCTTAAAGTATTCCCGATGATTAATATAGACATATTATACGGTAAATTAAACATTAACATTGTTTCGTGACTATGCTAATAATCTCATAGAAAGAAGATAGCGCGTGTAATTTTGTCTCTTTGTCACCGATTTGTCCCTAATGCCACCTTCCTAAAGATGCCTTGTGATGCACAGCGTGCAGGTTCTAGGACGCTAAAGATACTTCCTTCTCAACCGTCGTTCAGTTGCCTAGTTACAAACTTGACAATCGTCTATTCAGACTCTCCAATTATTTTTGTCATGTTTATTTTCCCATTGCCTTTTTGTAAATATACCACTTTGGACTTTTATTTCTGTTGTTCACTCCGAAAAGCCCTTAATTTAATTCTATTTAGTTTAATTAACCTATAGATGAAGAAACATACTTTTGTTAATTTTCAAATTGTTGCAGTATGATGAAAAATATTCCAAATAACCGATGATTTTTTTTTTTTTTTTTTTACACTGATAAAAATATTTAACACAGAGTTAGCGTGCTTGAAATGAGACTTAAATAAGTCCTAAAATTTGAATTCACTCTCATTTTTAAAAATTTCAATTCACGAAAAAGATTTTCAGAGTGACATTGGTTTCTCTCTTTTTTTTTGCAAGGAGAAAACCATTCAATCATTTTCCAACCCACTTATTCCCTTTTTGGGGACACGGGGGTCTCCAGCACACATTGGGCGAGAGAGGGACGTACACCCTGGAGTCAGTCCGTCGCAGGGCAAAATTCACTCACACATTCACACCTTAGGGGAATTTAGATTATTCAATTAACCTAACTTTTTGGGATTGTGGTGGAAACCGGAGTACCCGGAGGAAACCCACACAAGCACGTGGAGTGAAGTGAAAAGAAAGTGAAAGTGACGTTAGGACCAAGTTTGGAGTGACCCATACAAGGAATTTGTGCTCTGCATTTAACCCATTAAAGTGCACACACACAGCAGTAAATAAACACACACTGGGAGTTCGGCGCCCGGGGAGCTGTGGTAACTGGTGACTTGCTCAAGGTCACCACAGTAATGGTTGTCTCAGGAGGGAGAGAGTTTCAACACTCATCCCACCTTCGACTCTCAGTGTAGCTGGGGATCGAACCAGCGACCTTTTGATCTCCAGTCAATCACCTGATCCTCTAGGCCACGACTGCCAGAACATGCAAACTCCTTCTAGGAAGGTCACCGGACCGACAACCTTCTAAAGGCCCCAGTGCCACCCACTGCACCACCGTGCCGCCAGATAAAACCAAGAAAAGCTTTCTTTTTTGATGACGTAGAAAAGGAGGTAAAAGAGCTGCTCATCCCACATTTTCATAGTGACTTTGTACAGGAAAGAAATGGCTCATCTCAAATCCTCAACTTGGCAAACGTATTTAACCCTTAGAAGAACAGAGGGTCTGCTTTGATCATGTTGTATAGAAATCAATTAGTGATTGAAGTTTTTTTTTTTTTTTTTTTTTTTTTTTTAATGTTCTTCTGGTTTCATTTGTAGTTGAATCATCCCTGACTTTGAGCTGAAGCCCAACAGGTCCTCATGAGTTTTGTGGAGTACTCAGAGTTCATCCAGGAAGGGGATGTTGTCATTATCTTCTTGGGGCGTGAGTCTATGATGCCCATCAAAGTTCAGTCAGGAGCTCAGACTCAGACCCGTTACGGTGTTATCCGGCATTCTAGTGACTTGATTGGACAGAAGTTTGGCTCCAAAATCACTTGCAGTAAGGGCGGCTGGGTTTATGTACTGCACCCCACACCAGAACTCTGGACAGTCAACCTTCCCCACCGAACACAGATCCTCTACACCACGGACATTGCAAACATCACCCTGATGCTGGATCTCAAACCAGGCTCTGTTGTCTGCGAGTCAGGTAAGAGATGTTCTCCAGCTGTAACATTTGTGTAGGTGACTTGATTCATTTAATGCTTACCCCAAAAATGTATTTGTTTTTATATTTTTCATTTACTTTCATTCTACTGCCTCTTTTCCATTGGATTTCAATAACAGCACAGCTCAGCTTGGTATAGCTAAGCTCTACTCACCACAGTTTTTCCAGAATTGGAAGGGCTTGTTTTAGACATTCCGCAGAAGATTCTGCTTTGTGATACCATAGTGAATTTGCAATCTCTCTAGAAAACATTTTAATTTATCGTTACACTGTCGAGCTCTCGTTGAACACGTTCTTCTGCCATCAGAGAAAGGAAGATCTGCACATCCTTATTTGCCAATGGTCGAGAATTATTATTTTTTTTATTAAATGCAAATATACACCCATCCGAAGTTCTGTGCAGCACCACAACTTGAAAACCAGTAGCGCCACACATCGGACCAAATGAGTGGTGACCAACGAAAAAGCCCTATGAGATCCATTTTCGCCAGAACTACCAATGAAAGCTGGCTCTTTTGATAGCGTGAGTAGGACATAAAAGATCGGTCATGCTCATCCTACATCTTCATAGTGACTTCAAACAGTAAACACTAAAGAATCAAATCTTCTCTTCTCCATGTCAAACAGCTCTCATTGATCAGCCACCAACAGTATAAACTGTTCAACATCCATGATTTTTTTTTTTCGATCTGTTTTTTTTTTTTATTTCCTGTTACCCATGTGTGGAAACATCAATATTTCCTCAACACAGGCAAAAAGCACCCTGTGGAGAAGCCTTCCAAAGATTTGTGGGAATCTAAATTTGGATCGGTCTGTAGAGGCTTTAATTATGAAGCCATGTGGTTGTTCCTTATTTGGGTCGCACGCTTTAATGATGCGTAGCTTCTTCTTTCTGACCAATCAGTGAGCTCTGACCAGTCCAGGATCAACAGTATATTTCTATACTTTTTATTTGTATTTACAATGAGACACAGAAACACCATGTTTCTCAAGGGTGTATTGAACCGAGGCTGGTCTAACGTACAATTCGGTATAAAACCAAATTACACGTATTCATAAAAGATACACCTATAACCAATTATTTGGGATATAAGAGCTACGGTGATAGGCCGAAGCCGTGGCCATATTGTACAGCCGGCGCTGCACGCTGACGTCATTGCCCATCTCTGCCATAGTGCGGTCGTAACGAAAACGGGGAAAAAAAACTACATTTCCCACAATGTCTTTGGCTTCCGCATCCATACTCGCGAGCGAAACCACAGAGCTCAGCTGCCGTTTCTCACACATTGAACGTAAGACTCTCGCATTTGAGTGATCTCTCACGCTCATGTTTCTTGAGCCTGATGTGACGCTTGTGCCAGATAGCCAGTGGAAAAAGAAGGAGCTTCAAGACGAGCACATCATCCCAAACTCAAACCTTTATTTTTAGCCTCTTTCAGCGTCATTTTTTTCCTAGATCTTCCTCTTTTAAAATAAGTGCGTCTTATGTGCCGGTGCGTCTTATGAGCCGAAAAATACGGTAATTTTATTAGAGTTATTGACAAAAAAAAATATTTTGTGAATGAATTGCTTTTTTATGTAGAGCAGCATTAACATATGTGTGGGTACATTATATGTATTCATTTAATTTATGCAGGGATTGGTTGTTCATTCCTAAACTCTGAGCATTAAACAGTGCTAGGTTTCAACTAACACCAAGCTTTGTATGTCTTCAGGTACAGGCAGTGGCTCTCTGTCTCATGCTATTTTGCGCACCATTGCTCCTACCGGCCACCTCCACACCGTAGAGTTTCATGCTCAGCGAGCTGAGAAGGCCATTCAGGAGTTCAAGGAGCACAAGGTGTCTCACCTGGTCACTGTCAGAAACCAGGATGTGTGCAAAGATGGCTTTGGCATTACACATGTAGCTGATGCTGTCTTTTTAGACATTCCTTCTCCGTGGGAGGCAATAACACATGCCAAGAGGGCATTGAAACACAAAGGTGAGGGGCATCCAATTGTGAAACTTAAATGAGTCTTAGGCTGTGTTCACATGTGGTGTGTGGTTAGTTTTCTCCATGATGTATTTAGTCCTAGTCCGGTTAGGCTTCAGATATGAAATTTCTAAAAAGCCTAAGGCCACATCCTGATTGGTGAGGGATCTTACATGACTGAACTCACCAACGATGTTGTCTCCTGGTGTAGGATCACTTATCCTATGCATTGACATCATATCCCAGTTTTGGATCAAATATGTGTGTTTTGGTGCACGTTATGTTCATATCACAACCAGGGGGGTATTCCAGAAAGCAGGTTATGTGACATACCTGGGTATGTTTAAGGATAAGTTCGTGGATAACCTCAACTTTCGGTTCCAAAAACGGAGGTAACTTTCTGGGTATGTATGTAACCATAGCAACTGACTCTCTGAAGATAACCTGCTCGGGAGCAGGTTATGTTTCAGTGTAACTTCGTTTCAGAAGGTTGGTGAGCATGGCGTGCCCTTTTGATGAGGATCCTGTGGACGTAGAAGCACAAATTATACGAGGTTTTTTTTTCGTCGGGAGAGGGTTATAAGACCACGTATTGATGTGTTTGCATACCCTAATGAATATTTGAAAGAGCGTTATCGTTTTTCAAAAGATTCGTTAGTTTATTTAACACGTCTTTTAAAACCGCATATCGCGAATGTGACAAACCGCGGTTCTGCGCTTAGCACAGAAAACATTCTGTGCATAGCACTTAGGTTTTTTGCGTCTGGACATTTTTTGTACAGTGTGGGCGATTCAGAGCATGTGGGAAAGGCAACTGTGTGTAGAGCCGTTCGTACAGTATGTCTGGCACTTAAACAGTTCTTACCCACGTTTGTACAGTTCCCTGGCCATAAACCTCTGCTTGTTATTAAAGACGAATTCCACAGAATGGCAGGTTTGTCCTTTGTAGTAAAATCTATGACGCATATTTAATATTTAGTCATATTATGTATATCTATACATGTATTAATTATTTTCGTAGTGATATAACATATTCAAAAGGCTGTATAAGTCATACTTCATTATTTTGTATTATAATAAAACGGGAGCCAATACCAAATTTGTAATTTAATACACTCACGCATTTACTCTGTCCGTTATTTTTTGCCAAGCCAACTCTCTTGCTTTAGCTGATGCAGCTGTATTGCTTCTATTTAATATTATTGGCTTAAACTCCTCATAAGCGTGCATTAAAACCTCCAACTCCGCCTCTGTGAAATACGCCGCTCTCTTTTTTTCGCTTTGACTTTCCATGGTGGCTCGTGAAATCGGCGATCCATTGAAAATGTCTTTATATATGCACCGTGCACGTGCATTAACTCTGGGTAACCAGTTGGAGGTTGATTAAACTTACTCTTCTCAGGTGTTTTGGAACCGACATACTCATGGTATGCCTGTTTGGGGTAAATCAACCCAGAGGTTATGATTTATCATATGGTAAGTTAACCAAGCTTTCTGGAATACCCCCCAGTTCACACAAGAGTTTGTTTATAACTGGAAAGAGACTCGTCTTTTTAGTGGCCTCTGCCTTCTTGTTTGGCGAGCACTAGGATTCGAGTGACATTGTTACATCAACAAAGGGCACCGAGTCAGCAATCCAACTAAACATGACGTACATGAACTTACCTAAAAACAAGATGTACAATAATCTACAGGTTTGGACTTTCCGATGAGTTCATAGTATGGTGCTAAGTTCTGCAATCAATATCTTTTGAACAGAATGACTTCCAGTAACATGAGCCACAGGTTTCCACTCATCTTACCACTCGGTGTCAGTTATGCACCTCAAGAGACTATACTATACTGTACTACGGGTGGAGGAAGCTGCTTCGGTTTGCACTTGTGCTGAACATGTAAACGTTTATCTCCTAGCTGCCCTAAATGCCATTGTTTGAATAACATTTGTGGGAGATCTTAAGGCTTAATCTGTCCGTGCAATCAGTTTACGACAAGGCTGCAAATGAGTGCATACCAGTTGTGGATCCTCTTTTAGACTCCTCATGGAGTTAGATTTGACCAGTGGCTCTTGCCTCTAATTTCTTCGTCATTATTCTTCCTACTGAAAAGTGGTTGTAGATGGTGAGTCCCCCCCCTCCTTCCTACTAACCCAATGTAAACATTTTGAAGGCTATGTATTAACTAGGGCTGCCCTAGGTTTTTTTTTCTTCCCCTCTCCCACCTAGTCGGCTATTAATCATTTGTTACAGCCAATAGTCGACAATTTTGACAGTCCCTCTATTCTTCTGAAAGCTGTGG